TGGCTTGGCAGGGTTCAAGATGATACGCACTGGTTCAGCACTCAGCATGTGCCCCACTTCATTTGCATGGGTGGACCACAGCTGTGGAGGTACTCGTGCCAACAGTTCCTCTTGCAAGTAGGAAGTGTCAGGTTCAGAGTACTCCTGGGTTAGCAAAGCCACAAGCTCAGTTTCCCTATGTTCTGGTACCTCAAGGTAAACACCATCTGGGCTACAATAAATCACGCATCCCAGTTTACACAACAAATCCTTACCAAGAAGGTTGACAGGTGCACAGGGGCTAAGAAGAAAGGCATGATTTTCAGACAAAGGGCCAATAGAGATGGAGACAGGTTCAGAGACGGGATGTGGGATAGGTTGTCCGCCTATACCGACAGCATTTATAGTTTCAGGAGAATAAGGTAGAAAAGGAAACTCAGCAGCCTTTAGCGTGGAGCGGGATGCTCCGGTGTCGACAAGACAGGAGACAGGTTTACCAGAAATAAGGCATTCAACAAACGGACCAGATTGGTCAGTAGCAAGCAAAGGAGCGATGATGTCACTGTCCCTCAGGCTGTCCTATTCAACACTGGGAAAATTGACAGGAAGTGGAGGTGGGGGCAGGGACTGGGGTCTGGGTCCTTGGCCGGGGCGCTTGGGGCATTCTGATTTCCAATGTCCTTCTTGCTTGCAATAATGACATTGGTTCCCATAGCCTGGGTTTTGTGGGCTCAAGGATCTATCTCTTCCCCTGAATCTACCCGGGCCTCCCCTTCCCCGTCCTCGTCCCCTTCCTCTACCTGGACCCTGCAACTGAGAAATCTGTAAGGCCATTAACTTAAACTCGGCATTGTCTTTAGACCGTTCCAATTTGTTATGAAAATGGTTAGCCGCAGCAAGGACTTCAGTCAAATCTTTAGTTTCCCAGCCAATAATTACTGTTTGAATTTTCTCAGCAATTTTAGGGTTAAGTCCCTGGATGAATGCTGCCACTATTGCTTGTTTAGCATTTCCGACTGGGTTATCCATTCCTGAGTATCGTTCAAATGCCTGTTTGAGGCGTTCCAAATAGTCACTGGGGTGTTCATTTTTGTTTTGTTTACAGGTATTTATTTTGGTCCAGTCTGCCTTTTTTGGGCAAATTGTGAGAACTGCCTGAACCAAAGCATTTCTCTTGTCAATAAAGTCTTGGCCAATCCCTGGGTTTTGATCTGGCCAAGTACAGGCAGCATACAGACGTAGCATAGTTTCCTTGGGCAAAATCGATCGCATGAGCTGATTAATGTCAGCCCATGTTGGATTATAACAATTTATAACAGTCTGCAATTCTTCCTGAAATTTTTCTGGGTCTTCCCTGATTTTGGGGAATTTTTGAGTTAAATTGTAGAGATCACCTGGAGTCCAGGGTGCATGCACGGTTACTATATTTTGTCCATCGGTGCCAATGCCTGGCATTTGTCTTAGGGGGTAAACTTGTGCAGCTCGGGATCTAAGATTGATGGGAGATCTTTCCATGCCTATTCCCATTCTTCTAAATACACCTGTGGTGGGTTGTGACCCAGGAGTAAATTGCCACACTGGTGATGATTGAGTGGCAGATATGGTGGATGAGTCCAGACTATTAAGCTCCGTGGATGGATTTACTGAAGGAGCTTCAGCTAATGAGTTACTAGCCTGGGCTGCAGCCTGATGTTGAACCGGTTGTTGCTGATGTGGGAGTCCCAGGAGAGCAGGGTTCGAACAAAGGTCAAGGATATCCTCTGCTGGCTCCGGTGGTGGGGGCGCCCCGGGCAATGCTGGATACATCGGAGCGGTGGCCGGCGTGTAATTTGGGGGAGCAGCCAATTTCTCCCGAACAGCTTGTAACTGCTGTTTTAATTTTTCTTGAGAGTCTTTTAGGCTCCTAGTTTGAGATTCTGTCCGCCTTTTGGACATTTCATCATACCAATAAAAGAACGCGTCCCACTGGTTTTGTGGTGTTTTGGATCCACGGGACTCTAAAGCCCCTCTTAAGTGCACTATTTTATCCTGATCAAATGTTCCTTCTTGTGGAAAATGCTTCACAGGATCATCCCTAGTATACCAGTTCCACTTATCCAGGTACTTGCAAGCCTCGGGAGAATAGTGTGTGTACATAAAGTACGCCGGAGTCCCCTTAGGGGGGACGGGAACTTGTTTAGACTGACTCGTTCCCATTTTCAGTCACACAGGGAGACGTAGGAGAGGCTTATTTAGGATGTCCGGGCCGCTCAGTGCCTTGCCCCGCAGTTTTTCACTGCCCAGACAAAAGGCTTCTGACCCGACACCGGCTCATAAAATGGAAATGGGAAGGGAAACACAAGAGGAATCCTTTCACTCCTGCTCTCGGCAGAAGCTACTGGGACAAGGGGTTTGGAAAAGACAAAATCACTCAGACGCCCTGTCCACTGGGTCACGAGGTTTCAGCTGGGCCCCCTTGCTTTCGACGCTACCTTTTTTAGGCAGAATCGGGGCGGCTAGACCCAGCCTTAGTCCCAGACCTGGTCAGTGGCTCATTTTTCTAAATGCACACACACACATTTATTCAATCACTGGGAAGCCCTGTCCACTGGGTCACGAGGTTCCAGTTGGGCCCCCTTGCTTTCAAAACTGCCCTGTCAGGCAGAATTGGGGCGGCTGAACCCAACCGTAGTCTCAGACCTGGTCAGTGGCTCATATTTCTAAATACACACACATGCACATTCATTCAGTCAGCCAGACCTCCTCCCCCACACCGCCTTAGTTAATTAACGACAAGCCCGATGTGCTGTAGGATGAAGGTGCTTCATACAGTTTCTCCCTAAATAAAACGTACGTTACCAGACACAAAATGGGATCCTTTACCAGACAGAAAATTTTAGCCGGCAGTAAGGTTCAGACTGACCTGTTTTAACAAGGTTCAGATCCAGTTACCACGGCCAAGTTGGGAGCCTACAGGCAGTCCTCCTCCGAAACCCCAATAGAGATTTTGAATTAGGTCTCTTACCTCTCAAGTTTGGCGCCTCGGGGTTCGGGGGGGGCAGTCTGCGGTCCTCCTTTCTCAGCCTGTGTTCTGGATCCGAGTCACGGCACCAGGAATTGTCGTGGAAACACACGCAGCATACTTTTGGGTCAGGTCAGCAGAAGCTTTTATTCAAAAGAAACTACAGCTGTAGGGGGGATTCCAAAGTGACATGGATTTCCCAAGCACTTGGAAGGGGTCCCCCCCCAAGAGCAAAATCAGGAGGCTTATATACTTTTTAACAGTTGCTTACAACTCACGTGATCATATAGTGAAATTAGCATGAAAAGCGGCTATAACATTACTTCATTATTTCTTTGCTGTAATCAGGATGGGAACTAATGGGGGAGGCGAGGTTAGTTCACAAACCTCCTTCTTGCACCTGCAAATCAGAGTTGTACATACTTTTTGCTATCTTCAAGGCCGCGGTGAGCGAAGCAGTTGCAGAGGAGTTACAAAGAACAAACACTTTCTCTTATCTGTTCTACTATACAGAGCCAGCAATTCTCCACAAAGCGGTTATGTCATCTTATAACTAAAATAGTCAAAGTTTAAGGCGCATATTTTTTCTGATTCCACACCACCATCCTTCACATGGACTGCACCTACCCCAACACCCCCTGTGAATGCCACCCCCACATCCCTCCAGCTCATCAAGCCTGCCTCTGCATCTCCCATGAGTTGTGTTTTCCCCTATTCCTTCTCCCATGAGTCATGTTGTCCCTATTCCTTCCCCATCCCTCCTGTGGATCATGCCTGACCTAACGCCTCCCTGCCGTGGATCACAGCTGCCCTCCACCCCACCCTACCCCACCCCTCATATTGCACCAGCCTCCCTACGCCCAGCAGACATCACCAGCCCCTCAATCCCTCCCACTTATCTCACCTGCCCCCCAGCTCCCTATGAATTGCACCTGTGCCCCCATCCTGTCCACATATGACACCCCCTGATGGATGCCTCCTGCTCCCCATTCCCCCTACAAATCGTGCCTGTCCCCCCCATCCCCTATAAACATGAATTGCATTCCCACCTGACCCCCATCCCTCCCATGCCTGCACCCCAAGCCCCCCACAGATTCCCAATCCCCCCCAACTTGTGGATGTCCTTCATCTCAGTTCCTCGTCAGAAAGCTCTTTGTCTGGGGCTGCTTCTCCAGCTGCCCCTCCCAGGCTAAATAGGCTCCTCTTTTTCTTTTGTACACTGGGCCCTGGGCAAATAATTAACCACTGCCTTTCTGTTAGGATAAAATCAACACTGCCCTGGCTGTTCATGCCATAAAATATGTTTGCTCTGTCTGGGAAGACTAACTCTGTAGAAAGAGAAAAGAAAAGTGTTGCTTGATGTGCTGTGGATAGGAGCACTACAAGCAAGCACAGCAAATTGGTGAGCATTCAGAGGTGCATTCTGGCTGGGCACGTGCCACTTGGAAGTCTAAATAATCTTCTTTAACATGGTTTTACTACTTCTAACATCTCCCTTCCCACCAGCAAAAGCATGAGGAGATGTTGTTGTACCATCCAAAGTCATGCTTCGGGAAGTTTGATAACACCAAATCTACCTGTGCACTAAATGAAACAGTTTTCTGGCTCTGAGATCATTGACTACAGACAGTTGCATGATGTATTCACACAGGAGTGTAAATTTAGGTTGAAAGGCAATCATTTGATTTGCTTCCTTAATGCATCATTTCCACGTGGGGTTTTGTACAGCTTGCATGAGTTGGGTGGTTTATTCAACAAATAGGTCAAGACAAACCCTTTTACATTCAGCTGAGACAAAACCTTCACCGCACCATGCACCAAGAGCAGGGGTTGAACCTCGCCTTTTGGCATCAGTAGATTGCTGCTCCATGAGCTCACAGATACCTGTCTGCTAGCAATGGGAGACAGCTGTTTTCCAAAAAGGTGCATGTATGGGGAAGCACTTGGTTAAGACAAAAGAAAGTCAGCCCTGCCTTTGTATCTTCCATTAATAAATCACCTTCACTTGAAGCAGCAAACCTACAGGTTCCTTTATTTTTCTTTTAATTCTGATGTTCTTGGAAAACCACCACGTCCAGCTCTTAACATTGGTTGCCAGCTGTAATTCATGCTATGCCTTAGTTTTGCTGATCTTGTTCCAGTATGCTTGTGTTGGGGATTTCATAGTTTCATACACTGTAAGGCCGGAAGGGACCTCGGAAGATCATCAGGTCCAGCCCCCTGCACCAAGCAGGACAGATAACTGGGGGTCGCTGACCACAGCAAGGTGACTGTCCAGTCTCCTCTTGAAGATTTCCAGGGTAGGTGATTGCACCACCTCTGGAAGGAACTTATTCCTCAGTCTGGACACCCTGACTGTGAAGAAGTTTGTCCTAATGTTGAGCCTGAATTGATCTTCCAGGAGTTTGTGACCATTACTCCTGGTTTTTCCATGGGTGCCCTGGTGAACGGTTGCTCACCAAGCCCTTGATGTATCCCCTAGTGTAACGGTAAGCTGCTACGGTCCCCTCTCAGCCTTCTTTTCCTCAGGCTGAAGAGTCCCAGGTTCCTCAGCCTGTCCTCATATGGCTTGTCGTGTAAGACTGATCATACGGGTTTCTCTTTTGTGGACTCTCCCAAGCTTGTCCATGCCCTTGTTGAAGTGCGGTGCCCAGAACTGGATGCAGTCCTCCAGCTGTGGTATCACCAGTGCTGCGTACACCAGAAGAATTGCCTCCTTGGTTTGCTGGAGATGCATCCATTGATGCATAGCAGGGTAGTATTTGCCCTGCTGGCTACAGCATCGCACTGCCGGCTCATATTCATCCTGTGGTCTATTATTACCCCCAGGTCCCTTTCATTCATGATGCTGGTCAGTTCAGTGCCGCCAAGCTTGTCTGTGTTGGGCGTTGCTCATGCCCAGGTGCAGCACTTTACATTTCCCGATGTTGAACTTCATCATATTCTGATCCGCCCAACTTCTCAGCCTGTCTAGGTCTGCCTTATGTGTAGCCTATCTTCAAGCGTGAGCGTGCTTCTCCGTAGCTTGGTGTCGTTCGCGAATTGTCCAATGAGCTCTTTACCCCCACATCCAAATCATTAATGAAGATGTTGAAAAGTACTGGACCAAGCACTGACTCCTACGGGACACCGCTGCCCACTTCTCCCCATTCACTACGACTCTCTGGGTCCTATCCTGCCTCCAGTTTCTCACCCACCTGACTATCTCGGAGTTAAGCCCACAATCCTCCAATTTTCTTGCGAGGACATCGTGGGATACTAGATCAAAGGCCTTTTGGAAGTCAAAGCATACAATGTCAACCTGCTCTCTTGTTTCCAGATGGCGAGTTACCTGGTCGTGGAAGGAGATGAGGTTGATAAGGCAAGACCTGCCCATGACAAAGCCATGCTGGCTGTCATTCAGGATCTTATCTTCTCCAAGGTTATCACACATAGACTCCTTGATGAACTTTTGTAGGGTTTTCCCCAGGATGGAAGTTGGGCTGATTGGCCTATAGTTACCCATCTTGCAGATGGGCACAACATTGGCCCTCTTCCAGTCCTCAGGGACTTCTCCAGAGCACCACAAGGTGTGGAAGAGTTTCGCCAGGGACTCTGCAATGACTTCGGCCAGCTCCTTCAGCACTCTTGGATGAAGATCACCCAGTCCCGCTGACTTGTATATGTCTAATTTTTTTACTTGGTCATACACCAATTCTACGGCAATAGTAGGAAGGTGATTATTCCTACCGTGCTCATCCTATTCTCTACATGGCACTGTTTTCCCCTTGGTCCAGTGAAAGACTGAGGCGAAGTAGTCATTCAGGAGTTCAGCCATTGACAGTCCCCCCTCCAATGCCTTGTATGCATCTCTCAATTTTTAGGTGGGTAAAAAACTCCTGGGGCAGCCACATTGGTCCCTTGCTTGCTGACCTGTCTTTCCGGTGCATTGGAAAGGACTGCAGGTGTACCTCTGGCTGTGCGTGTGTCCTCCAGGAATGGCCAGGCCTCCTGCCATCTATCCGTGTGTGTGTCCATCTGTTCATGTGACCTTGCTTCTCATCACTAGTTAAAATCTGCTTCTCTGATGTTCATTGCCCTCCCTTTGCTCTTCACCTGCTTTCTTTTCTTGGGATCCTAAACTTGAAGCCAGCAATGGCACTCAAAATAATAAGGGGTGCCAGTGCCCCACTGATAGCAATGTCGTTAAGAGGAATAATGCATTAGTTTTTTCAAGTGCACCAGTGCCTAATCTCAAAATCCCACACCTCACCTGTGCTACTGTACACTTTAAACAGTGTAATGCGAACAGATGGAGAGAAAGCTATGGCAAGCGACAGGTACAAGGAAAGGAAAGGACAGAAAAGACAGGGAAGAAACGTAGTGTATAAAAGAATGTTATTCACTGGTTAAAAGTTTTGACTCCCGTCTTCCAGTATAATAAAGCAAGAGAACGTAAAATCAACCACATTACAAAATTTATTCCATAAAAATACCAGTGCCTCAATCCAACACTCAGTAACACATGTCCTTGATAATATAGGGCACTCCTCATGGTTATTTAGTCTGAATCAGAGCTATAACATGCATCCCCAATAAAAAAAACCCCACAAATATTTTGGAGTGCAAGCGTAATGCAGTTTGGTCTCCACCAGAACTGGCCAAAACCAAAATCTGACTTTTGTGAAAAATGCCTAAGGTCTTTGCGTTCCAGATGAAGCTATTGCTCTCTTTCGGTGACTTTTGCAAAATTGTAACTGAAATGTTGTATTTAGCAAAGGGCCAGCTTTCAGTGAACCAGCAGGTTTATTAAGGTTGGTGATAACATTTTACAAGAAAGGGCTGAAAAAGGCACCATACTTTTGTGTGGAAAAATCAGAAAGTCAGCAACTTCTCGTAAAGGGTTTCATGGTAAAAAACACAAAAAAAAAAACTTGGCTTGAGTTAAAGAAATACATAAACAAAGCAGCTGACTCACTTTGACCAGTTCTCGATTCAAATTTCCAAAATCAACTAAATGACTTGGGTCCCTAAATCCCATTTCAAACTGAACTCTGTTGGCAGTGGACAGAACTGATGTTCAATGATGTTCAGGTCCCTTTATACCTTTGACTCCGTGAAGCCTTGAAAAGCAGATGGAGAGGTTTCCCTGAGAAACCCCCCAATGCAGGGAGCCTCTGCTGCTGGTGGAAGGGTCCCATACCCAGCACAGGGGTCAGCGTGGGCGTTAAGGCTGGTCTTTCCTCCCCGCGGGCCATGGAGGGGCTGGTGCTAGTTACAGGAGCCCGAGCCCAACCCTGATCAGATCAGCAGAAACCCTGAGGAATACTCTAGCCGCCCTGTATCTAGACGAGTCTGACACAGCCCAACACCAGGGCCGCATCTATACAAGATGCTGACTGAGCAGTAAGTCATTACTATTGCACAGCAGCACTGCGTGGCACGAAGCGTGATGCAGTAAAAAGGAGGTACTGCACAGTAGTAAAGAGCTGTTGTGCAGTCATCATCATCAAAAAGTCATTTGGGGAAGCTGCTGTGCAGTAACTCCGGTTACTGTACAGTCATTTAGTACTTGTGTACACAAGTGTTGAATGAATGTGCAGTAACAACTGCACAGTCAGCATCTCATGTAGACACGGTCAGTGCAACTTGCTCTGCTCCAGGGCAAAGTCTCTAATTTTGCATCGCCCAAGGGCTGCAGAGCTAGAGTACTCATGGCCTCGCCTGCACTGTTTGACCAGCAGCTCTTTGCTATACACTGCCAACCTCCACATTAAAAGCCATGGAAGTCATTCCAATTGCAGCATGGGAAAGAAAGTCAAGATAGCAAATACATCCCTCAGTCCTAAGTGCCACACTCAGGGGAACATAATGTTAAGCCCTTGAAACAGAATATGGCCCAGGTAGCAGGACCGGTGAGAGGTCCCAAGCTTCCCATTCTGAGTTATTGCTCCCTGGAGATGGGCTTTTCAGACATTGCTCCCATTCAAAGCAAAGTAGCAAAGGTCTGGCTGATTTTTGGGACAGGTGACATGGACCCATAGTTGTGGTGTCGTAGTTCCTACAATAAGGTGTTAAATGAAGATCTGCTTACAACCTGCCAGCATTGGCCTGTCCCAAAGAGTAGCCAGTGTCCAGCATTGCAGAGGCCACTGCAAAAACTATGGAGACTTGAGTTCATTTCCCATCTCTGCCATATCCTCATGCAGGAGACCTGTCTACCTGCCTCAGTTTCCTGTCTGTAAAATGGAGGTACTACATAGAAAATGAGCATTGGGAGGGACCTCAGGAGGTCACATCTAGTCCAACCCCCTGCTCCAAGCAGGACCAGCCCCAACTACATCATCCCAGCTAGGGCTTGTCGAGCCGGGTCTTCAAAACCTCCAAGAAGGGAGATGTCACCACCTCTCTGGGTAACCTGTTCCAGTGCTTTACTACCCTCCGCACGAGAAAGTTTTTCCTAATATCCAACTTAAACTTCCCTTGCTGCAACTTGAGCCCATTGCTCCTTGTCCTGTCATCTGCTCCCACTTATTCCCCTAAGTTACAACAGAGCAGGCACCAAGGTGGTGAAGACATCTTTAATGTGAGGTTATATGCCCCTCCCAATCTTCACCTGGTGGATCCCATCTCTGGACTACAATTTTGCTTTCCCAGAACATCAGCCTGTTGTCAGACTATCTAAACCCTTGGTAGTAGCAATGCCTCTGGTCTCAGGTCCATCCCTTGTTACTGAATGCAGTGTCTCTGTGGGGTTTTCTTCTCCATTCCCCATGGGACTTAATTTAAAGCCCTGCTCACTGGGTTAGTGTCAGTGGAAGGAAGGAAAAGTCTCTATTGAAGCATACCAAGGAATAGCAAGAATGTGTAGGGGTCAAATCAGGAAAACAAAAGCAAAAATGAGGCAGCAGGCAAGGGATGTTGAAAACGAGAAGGAAAGAAAAACCAAAGACACCAAGGAGCTACTGCTCAGTAATGGGGGTGATCTTTGAATGGAGAACACAGAGAAGGCAGGTTACTCATTGGGGACTTTGACTCAGCCCTCACATGTAAACAGACGCATGTAAACACACATGCACACACACAAAACTTGGGCAAAAATCTTAGAAAACAACTGAAAAAAAGGAAAGGGCTGTAGATTCAGATAAACAAAGATCATATCAAAGACTTTTGGCAAATTGAATAAGTCATCAAGGCCCGACAAAATTCATCCTAGGAAGTGGCCAAAGGAGTCTCTGAGCCACTAGCAAAAGTGTTTGAAAAGCCATGGATAAGAGGCAGAGTCCCAGAGGTCTGCTGAAGGGCTACCAGTGTGCCCATTTTCATAGGATGGTAAAAAATGAGGGTTGGAAGAGACCTCAGGAGGTCACATCTAGTCCAAACCCCTGCTCCAAGCAGCACCAGTCCCAAGTAGATCATCCCAGGCTTATCTACTGAGCCCTGTCCTTGATTTCCAGTGCATGGCCTCACCCCAGGTTCTGCATTGAGAGCCATGGGGCTGCTTCTGTCTCCAGGTGAGCAAAGGAGCCCATGGTTTATCCACGTGAGTCCCATTTGGGTGCTCTTGAGGGTACTTAGCACTGCCGCGGCCTGTGGCTGGATCTGAGCATTTCCTAGCTAGCTCAGCCCAGCCAGGATCCACATGGCAGGCACTGCTTTACGGGTACTGGAAGGAAACCTTGAGGAGGGGGTGCCCTGGGAATTACCTGGGTGGCTTTTGGAGAAGAGAGCCCTGCTGCAGCCAAGACCCAGATGCACCACGGCCCGGAAGAAGCACCCTGAGCACCCGTTCCCGGATCTCCCTCGTCCTTACCCCATACACGATGGGGTTTAACATGGGGGGAAACAGGAGGTAGAGGTTGGCCAGGATGATGTGGATATGAGGGGGCACGTTGTGGCCAAAGCGGTGCGTGAAGAAGGAGAAGAGCGCAGGGGTGTAGGAGATGAGGATAACACAGACATGGGAGCTGCAGGTCCCGAGGGCCTTGTGCCGGGCTTCGCGGGAGGTCAGGCACAGCACGGCCTGGATGATGAGGGAATAGGACAGGCCGATGAGCAGCAGGTCCCCGCCGATGACGATCAAGGCCACACTCAGCCCATAGACACGGTTAATGGTGGTGTCCCCGCAGGCCAGCTTCACCACCGCCATGTGCTCGCAGTAGGTGTGTGGGATGGCATTACCTCTGCAGAAAGACAGCCTCTTGATCAAAAAGGGGCAGGGGGTCATGAGCAGGGTCCCCCTGACCATGGCTGCTAGGCCCATCTTGGCAACGAGGGGACCGGTGAAGATGGAGTTGTACCTCAGCGGGAAGCAGATGGCCACGTAGCGATCCAGGGCCATGGCCAGGAGCACGGCTGACTCCATCATGGAGAGGGCGTGAATGAAGAACATCTGGGCCAAGCAGGCGCTGACATGGATCTCCCCAGCCTGCAACCAGAAGATGCCGAGCATTTTTGGCAGGGCGGAGGAGGAGGCAGCCAGGTCAATGGCTGCCAGCATGCAGAGGAAATAGCACATGGGCCTGTGCAGGGCTTGCTCAGTGGCAATCACCAGGAGAATAGTGCAGTTCCCTAGGATGATTACCACATACATCAAGCACACCGGCACCGAAATCCAGCTGTGAGCTTCTTCCAAGCCAGGGATGCCCAGCAGCAGGAAGGTGGTGGGGTTTGAGAGGCTCAGGTTGGCTGCAGCCATGACCTAGCCCTGCTCCGCTCACCCTGCGAATATGGACACAGTGAATTAGGGGAGGTGAGACTGGGCCCGGAGAAAGACCCCTCTTCTGTGAAGCATGGGTTGCTCCCTGCTGCTGGCTGCACCTATACGCTTGGGGAGGACAGCGGAGAGGCAAGGGAGTCTGGGGGTCGGGAGTCTGGAGACAGCTCTCTGCTTCCTCTCGGTTCTCCATCACCCACCTCCCCAGCTAACTTTGCAACTGGGTCTGACGAGGTTTCTGTCCCCTTGGGCTGGTCACAGTTGCTGCCCAGCTTCCAAATTCAGCCTCTCTGCTTCTCCCTGCCTCTTCACTCATCTCTCCTAATCCAGCCAGCTACAACTTCCCCAAACTAACAGCTCTTTCCACTAAACTGCAGGAGAGCTAGTGAACAGACTGGCCAACCTATGTGTGACAAAAGGTTGAAAACTGCTCTAGGACACCTGAAGGAAGTGTTTAAGTTATCTTAGTGCTGGCCAAACTGAATCTTCCCGTTTGTTGCTTGGTGGCCGTGTCTACACGAGATGCTTTACTGTGCAGTAGACTAATCTACTGTGCAGTAAAGCATCACCATCTACATGTGCAGGTGGTTATTGTGCAGTAAATTAGTGTGCTGCGCAGTAAAGCCAATGGCATTAATTGCATGTGTAGATGCATCCAGTGTGCATGCAATGGGAACTGAGGCTGGTCTCTATTGTTTAGAGTCTCAGGATTTCCATGCTGGTGGCTATTCGTGAGACTGCAACGGCTTGTCCTTGTTGGGACAGTGTTTGTCCATCTTCCTATTATCTGACCGTTATTAGATGGGTAGAGGTGGAGGCAGGTCAGTGGGTCAGTCATGACACACCATTGCAATATGGCATTCAAAGGGGCTCTGTGTAGCAAAAAGGTCAGAAGCAACTGGCTGGGGATAGAGGGACTGATTTCTAAAGAGAGATCAAAAGAGCAAATTCTGTACACCTTAGTAAAGGGCTGGCTGAAGGAGGGTGGAGGGGTGGTGATCAAGGGCTATAAATAGTCAGTGAATCCCAAGCAGGGAGAGACAAATTATTTTAAGTGGCATCCTCTGGTGAGATCTCTTGAAGCAGAACAGCATCATCACTGACCAGATGGCACATCATTGAGCAATTCTCTTCTTTTCCATGTCAAATAAAGGGGGTTGCCCACAGCACAGGGCTTCAAGGTCTAGGGCATCACTCCTCAATGTCCTATCTGATCCAAACCCACCAGCCCTTCTAGATCTGTGGTGCCCTCAAAGGCCCTGAATTACAGGATCAAGCTTCCGGAAGGGACTTAAAGGTGGGCATTGCAGATACATAATGGTATCAGAAAAGGCTTTTAGGGTAAAAGGGTGATTCTCTGTTCTCAGCTGCAAGTCATCTCCCTGGAGCCACTTCCAGGAAGACCCCCAGCCCCTGCTGTTCGACACACATGCTATTCCTCCAAGGGGAGTCTACGGGCCAATTTTCTGGGTGCACCTGGGTGTCAGCCCAGGTGCAGGTCTGTTCCTATTAATAGGATCAGCTCTTCCCTTAGTTCAGCGCTCCTCATCGGGCTCTAGGTCCTGCTCAGAAAAATGCTCACTCACTTTTATAAAATAATCCTAGAGCAATCCTCTGTTGCAGAGAGCTCAGCAAGCAACTGATCCCTCTCTCTCCTACAGCAGGCATTAACTCTCCAGTCTGTGCTCTAAAGCAGTGGTGTTTGTTCAACCCGTGAGCCACTGACCCCAGAGGGTCCGCAGACTATGTCTAAGGGGTCTGCGAGCAATGCCAATGAAAATCAAATTTCAGATCCCAGAATTGCATTTCCAAAGGGGTCCGTGCCTTCATTTGAAATTTTTTAGGGGTCTGCAAAGGTTGAAAATCACTGCTCTAGAGCACCCAGAACCCCGGCGGGGGGGAGGGATACATACACAGATACTAAGGAGAGGGGGAGATCGTTTATGGAGACACAAGGGAGGTCTCTTTGAGGAGCAGAGGAAAATTAAGGCAAAGTGATGCTAAGCTGACCTTCAAGAGCGCTTAGAAGCGTGCTGTAAGAAATGCATAGTAAGAAATGCACAGCCTCTCTTGCTCTCATGAGCAGGAAACTCCCCTTCAAAGGTAGTTTCCTCCCTAGACAAATCACTGTCCTCTCTGGGCGCTCCAGCACCAATTTGACAATTGACAGTGACTCTGAATAAAAGTCTGTTCACAGCCTCTTTGCTGATGAGAGCTCGCACACTTCTGATATGATTAGTGTACAAGGTGCACATCTACCCCACCTCCTGTGAAGAAAGAACCAGCCAAATAACCAGGACCTGATGACTCACCAGACTCCCCGGCAGTAGAGGAGAGGGGCAGGTGTCAACAGGACCTTATATCACGGAGGAAACCGCAGCTTCAAATCTCCTCTCTGCAAAGCGGGGACAGCACAGACCATTATAGCTGCTGTGTGAAATCCCTACAGAGCATCCTCAGCCCCTGAGGCCTCCCCAGTGCTTCCCTCTACGACCTGCTCTTAGACTTGGGGAGTTGGAGAAACCTTCTCTGCTCCTTTCAGATGTCATCTGGGTTATAATGTACACATGGGGGATGCCAGAGTCTGTGCAGCTCTCATGGGGAACGCATCCCTGCAGCAAAGAGCTAGCTTGGACTTAGTCAGATTCAGGATAGTAGTAGTTCACCTTTACCAATGACTTTAATCATTTATCATATTTATGCTATTGTGCTGTGTAGAGGTCCATTTAGAAACCAGGATTCCTGACCACAGTTCCTGAAGCGGGGTCCAAAGAGGATGGAGCTGGCCTGTTCTCAGTGGGGGCAAATGACAGAACAAGGAGCAATGGGCACAAGTTGCAGCAAGGAAAGTTGAGATTGGATATTAGGAGAAAGTTTCTCATGAGGAGGGTGGTAAAGCACTGGAACAGGCTGCCTAGAGAGGTGGTGGAGTCTCCATCCCAAGAGGTTTTTAAGGCCCAGCTAACCAAAGCCCTGGCTGCATAATTACCTTCTTCAGGAAGGGAGAAAAGGTGTCCTCTCTCTTCTTTATGGCAGTTCTTTGAATATTTGAAGATGCTCCCTATTCCAGATGCATTTGTAAAAAAGCCAGTCATCATCATGTTGCCCGGGATGATCTAGTTGGGCTGGTCCTGCTTTGAGCAGGGGATTGGAGTAGGGGCATGTCTACACATTCAATTAATGTGCTTTAGGTAATGTGCATTAAGCCTAATACCTTCATTGTGAGGCACTAGAAAAATGTGCATTAGCTTATTTTAATGTATATTAGCTGGTGGTGGGGGAGGGGTGATGCTTTAATGTGCATTAAAGTAAGCTAATACATATTAAAGCACACATGTAGACACACCCCTAGGCAATCTCCTGTGGTCCCTTCCAACCCTAATTTTCTATGAGTGCATTATCCACAAGCCCCAGACTAAGCCATCTCAGCCAAGCGTCTGTCTAAAGAATGTCTTGCCTAAGACTGAGTGTGTCTAGGAACTCAGTTGTGCTTTTCAGGAATGAAAATTGACCTGTTTTTGTGGAGAGCAGAAAAACAGTGATTTCAAAGGCATCGGTGACATTTTCCATTTGGTTCAGCACTTCCAGCCATGCTGGAGCGCTCACAGAACTCAAGGCAAGGTCTGCTACTTTGGGCATGGACAGACATTGCTCCAAAAAGAGGGGTACAGATGTACTTAGTTCTGCTTTAAAAAATAATCCTGGGGGGGGAAGGGGGGAAGAAACAAAAAGGAAACGCTAAACTAGATATTGCTTGGTGGGTCTCAGTTTTATATTGATATTCTAGTTCCCCTTTTAAGTGATTTTGTTCTTGTCGCTCGCTTTTCTCTTGCTGCCCTCCTGTTCTGTAAGGTATTCTAGTGTCTTGCTCTAAGCTGCCCTGAGCCTTTGCTGGGAAAGGCGGCATGGTGATGATTGTTTTTTTATAAATACACCTGGAAGAGAGAACATCTTTGTATAACCAAAGAGCTGCCATAAAGAAGAGGGAGGACACCTTTTCTCCCTTCTGAAGAGGGTATTATACAAAATCACTAGTTTTAAATTGCAGCAAAGTAGACTTAGATTCAGGGGAAAAAAGAAACATCCTTCCTGGTTCAATTTTGAGGCTGTGGTACAGACTGCCCAGGGAAGTGGTGGAGCTCCTGCATGGCATTCATGGGGACAAGCATTTATCCAGGATGATTTTGGACTATCATTCCTGCATCTGTGTAGGGGACTGGACCAGATGACCCTTGAGATCCATTCTTGCCCTTCGATCTAAGATCCTAGGATTTGTTAATGGTCGCTAAGTTCCACATCTGATGATCAAAGCAGTAGTTCCAGAGGCATGGATTTGGGGCGCTGCCTTCAGTGTTGACTTAGGGAAGATGCTAGGCACTGAACCAAGACCATATGTGGATGATCACTGAAGGCATGTCTACACATGTGTTTTAATGCACATTAGCCTTTTTTAATGCGCATTAAAGCTTCATTTAAAAAGTGCTATTTAGTTAATGCACATTAAAATAATCTAATGTGCATTAAGGTTGACTTAAAGTCATGCTCTTTAGTTAATGCATATTAAGGCAGAAAAATATGCATTTTCTTAGTACCTCACAATGGATGGCACCTATACACAAGCATGGAGGCTGCGTAGAAGCTACTTGGACATGGTGTAATTCCACCACATCAGAGCAGACTTGATTAATCGAGTCTGCTGGAGCACAGCAATTACCACGCTCCAGTAGCTTCCTGCGTCTCATGTATCTGTGTCCCTGCAATTCAAAATGGCAGCGGGGCACTTGAACTAACGTTTGTCAAACTTTAGTTCAAGCACTCCCACTGCCATTTTGAAGTGCAGGGATGCTGATACATGAGATGGAGTGGCACTTGAATTAGAGCAGCTGTCAGAGCTTCTAAAATTAAAGCGCCACCCCTTCCATCCACCCCTGGAGCACATGTAAAAGTGCCCAACAAGGTACTGGATTTAATGCACATTAACT